CCCCCCCCCCCCCCCCCCCCCCCCCCCGCCCCGCCCCGGGACGGGAAGGGAAGGGAAGGGAAGGGAAGGGAGTCCCTTGTAACCTACAAGCCTGTAAGTCAGCGCCTGGCTGGAAGCTGAGACACCAAGCTCTTTCCCTTGCACAAAAGTCACATCCGATATCGGCACATTTAAATTAATGGAAAGAATAGAGACCCGCGGGCTAACAAAGCAGATTATTTGTTTTAAAAAGGCAAATCTGTTAACTGTTTTAACCGGGAGTGTAAAAGATCACGTGCTTAATGGAGTGAAACAGCTATCGTGACTCGTGATGGATGGCACAACATCTAGGGACTTGACAGGCAGAAGAAAAATGGAGTGGCTGAGCGATAAACTAAGCTCGCCACGGGAACGCGCTGGGACGTCTGATGTCTGCCCGCTCGCTGCGGCGCGCTGGGAACCGGCAGCGACGGCGGCACCCGCGGCTCCTTCGGAGCGGGCACGGCTCGGCTCCCGGCGCGGTGCGGGGCTGAGCGGGGCCGGCGGGAGGCGGAGCCGAGCCCGAGGATCCCGGGGCTGCGGGAGGGAGCGGCTGCTCCGCCGGGCGCCGCGATGGACGGCGGGTGGGGAACGGGCGTTCGCAATAAGGCGCGTCGGGGCTGATTAATCGCGCCGGGATTCGCCGCGCTCAGGCAGCGAGTTTCTCTCGTCCTGTTACTAAAGAGGGCTTTCTTTCTTCTTCTTCTTCTTTTTTTTTTTTTTCCGCGTGGCAGGTAGAAGCGACCTAAAAAAGTCAGATTCCAGTGGGAAGCTTTTGCATATAAAAACAAATTAAGTGACTTCAATCTCGAAGTATGCGCGGTACCATTTGTCAGTATCACCGGACGCTATTATTCATTAGTGTGTCTGAACTGCTATTATGCTACTACAATGTCCCGCATATCAGCTCGGGGATTGTTAAACTCTCCTGCAGTTTCCCCATTTGCAATAGCAGCTCGTGCTGGTCTGTGCCAACTACGTTTTGCAATTCCACGAATTCTTCCTGTAATGCTGCCGTAATTAATTCCTCCAGGACCCTGATTTTTATTAGAAGTGCCCGCCCGATGCATTTACAGCAGGAGATTTCCCTTTAACTTTCTTTCCCTTGACAGTTCATTTATAAGAGCCTCCCCCACGATATCCACTTTTTCCCCTCCTTTGCTTTTTCATAAAGCAATACACTTATTCATCTTGTCACTCGCCAGCAGCCACCGTGCCGCACGCCGCCGTCGGGTGACAGCGTCCAAACCCAGAGCCCCGGACCGAGCCGCAGCCCGCCGTTCTGCCCCCAGCCGCCCTTCGGCCCGGTTCCCGGTTCCCGGCCGCGTTCCGCTCCCCGCCTCGCAGCCCCGACGGCAGCCCGGCGGGACGGGCTTCGGGAGCAGAGGGGCGAGGAGCCGCCCGGTAGTTGGTGCCGGACCCGGACGGCCCCGAGGGGGCAGGCGGAGAGCTGGGGCCGGGGCCGCGCCGGCCTTCGGGCACGCCGTGGGCTGCGGGGGGACACCGGGAGCATCGCCGAAGGATGGAGCACGTCGCATCCGACGCGTGACGGAGTGCGGGACGTCCCTCGGCCCCGTTCGCGCGTCGGCGTGGCTCGTTATTGACGGGACCGGGAGATGAGCTCGTGGAGATAGCAGCCCTCGGCAACATCTCTGCTTCGAATGAAGCTTGGGCTGGGAGAAGGGAAGCGGGTCCCTGGGGACGTGCCTGCATTGACTCCGGTCGGAATCGTTGGCCCTCCAAACGGCCACAAAGGAGACGCTAAATATAACTTATTTTCATTAGGAGGCGCTTTTAAAGAGAAAGGAGAGGAAGGGGGGAACGTTTCTACAACGGGATTAATGTAAATTGGAGTGGAATAAAAGGAAGTCCATGCGGAGCAAAAAGGGAACTTAAAAGGAAACCAGTAGTAGATCATATAGAGTTTGTTTTGGCCTGCACCACGGTATTACCGAGTTCTTGACCTCTGCACAGAGAGAGCTATAATCTGAACCGAGACTCCTCCACTTTTAAAGTCTTTGTAAGTGTGACTCACTGTAAATTTTCAACATCGGGCATGTTTACTACATCGAGCAGTGCGAGGTAGAAAAGTTCACATCCCCACGTCACCGCCCCGTGCCCGGCTGCGTCCCGGGCAAAAGCCGCCCCGCGGTCACCCGCCCGCTCGGACGGAGCCCGACGGGACCCGGCGGGACGGCGTAGGGCCGCGCAGAGCCGAAGGCTCGGCCGGGGCGGGGGTCGGCGTGCCCTCCGCGGCAGGCTCGGCAGCCCCGCCGCAGCTCGCCTCGTGCCGCGCACCACGGGCGGTGCGGGGCGAACGGCGCGGGGAAAGAGGCGATGTCCCCCTGCGCCGGGCTCCTGCACTCGGCCACGCCGCCCCGTTCCGCGGATAAAGGCGGCCGGCAGCGCCCGCTCTACGGGCACGGGCCGCAAGGAGCGCCGGCACCGCGGGGCTGAGCCTGAAGCCACGCAGACGGGCACGAGGTGAAAACGGGCTTACAGACGGTAACACAGGTTCCGTCAAATCAGCTTCGGGCAAAAAGAGGGCGGTTGGTTTTCAGGCAGCTGGAAACGCGGCCAGCGAGGCCAGGCTCATCTCTGCACGGTAGTTGGCCACCCGCTTGCCGCGGCGGCACCTCCTAGCAAAACTCCTGAGTGGAAGGAAAGTCGTTTTTCTCCGGACGCCTCTGAGCCCGTGGGAGTAAGGACAAGGGCTGCTCGGCCTCAGCCACCTGTTCTGGCCGCGATGTGAAGCAGGACGCGTGCTGTGGGGCTGCCCCCCGGCACGGAGCAGACTGTGCCCCGACCCACGGGCTGCCCCACGCATCCCTGCTGGCTGCCGCTCGGCACAAGTGGCCATTTCTGCCGAGCTCACACGTCCCGCGATCGGGCTCACCCCACTACACGGACGAAAGACCACTTCGGTGGAACAAGAGAAAAAGAACCCTTCGGATCGTGCTTGGCAGACCCTTCGGAAGAACCAGAGCTGCTCGCTAAGGAAACGGCAGGAGTCGGGCAGGTTTCTCTCCGGCTCTCCCGAGGGTCCCCACTCAAGGGAAGAGCTGCAGCCTTCACTGAGCTCGGAGCCTGTGGCCAAAGCGCAGAGCAGAGCGGCGGAGCAGCCGTCCCGCCGAGGGCAGAGAAACCCCGCAAAGGGGCTCGCAAAGCCTATTTATAGACGGCCCCGCCAGGGCAGCCACTTTGGTCGCCTCGGCCAGGAGCTCTCCCCGCCGGTTATTCTACACGCTAATCTCTCTGGATAGGCTTCTTTCCTTCCTTCATTACCTCATTCCCTCCTTCCCTTGACGTCAACTCACGTTCGTTAGCGAAGCGGCTTCTGGAAGTGACAGAATTGTGTTGTCCCGCTTCCAGTGCTGATTAATCAGAGGCGATAGAGCCGGCCTATGAGAGGAGCCGCTGCGGCTTCCTTCGCTCAGGGATATTGTTTTGTGTGCCGCAGTTACTTAGCAACTCCGAGATACGGGACCGGCTCCAAGTTCACAAAAAGTTGAAGAATAAATTTTGGGGAACTTCTCACTAAACACGTTGTAAAACTGCGAGAGGCACGCCCAGCCCCCACGCCACACCAGAAAGAAGGGAAGCCGCGATTGCAGCAGGCCTTCTGTTCGCGGGAGCAAAACTCCACATATGCTTTTCTCCCAGCAAGGAAATCCGAGGCTTTGCCCTCATATTGCCCGATTCTCGAAAAATCGCCTCTATGTGGTCCGCTCCCCTCCGCTCCAGGGAGTGGAGCCGAAACCTTTCAGGGAACTGTCGTACAACCGCCCGATCCCGCACACGCTCTGCATGCACCCGCACTGCCGTGCCCGGTGCCGGCCGTGCCGAGCGCAGGCTGCACTGTGGGACCGGAGCGGGGCCGCCGAGCGGGGGGCTGCAGGCACCGGGCTCAGCCTCGGGCAGAGAGGGATGTTCTGGGGCGCGCTTGGACCGGGCTCGGCCGGCGGGGAGCCCCCATGGCCCGGGAACGGCACCTGCCAGGCGCCCGGCTCGGCCGGGGAAAGTCCGAGACGCCGCGGGTCTGGGGTGCGGGGCCAGTGCCAGTTTTTGTTCTTTCTTAAACTCGTGCATCCTATTTTCCTTTTTGTTGATGCCGTTGTTTTGGTTTTGTTTGTTTGTTTGTTTCAAGAGGAAGGCAGACACGACCTTCTTTTCCCGCTGCTACAGAAAGCCGTCGGCACAACACTCCAGCGCTGGAGCTGCCCGAGCAGCAGCCGGCGCGAACCGAGGGGAGGGGGAACGGGGCGAGGCGGAGGTACCTGTTGTAGGGGGTCCGCAGGAGCAGGGCCTGGCTGCCCGTGCAGCTGTCCGTGGGGGTGTGACAGCCGTACACCGGAGGGGGCACCGAGTACTGCTGGTCCCCTGCGGAGAAAGCGGGACAGGTTAGCCCGTGCCGCGGCCGCCGCCCAGCCCCGCGTCGCTCCGGTCGGCACCCATTACCTAGAGATGGCTGCTGGCTCATGGGGTCCTCGTGTTTGAAAGAGTGGTTCGTAAACTGCGCGGCGTGGTGAGACGGCGTGTGGCCGTAACTCGGAGTCCCGTCGAAGGCCACGGTGCCGTAACCTGCGGGAGAGAGCACCGCGGGTTCAGGGGCCGCCCGGCCCGCACCCGCTCCCCGCACTGCGGCTCCATGCGGCCGTCGGGTGAGAGACGTCCCCGGGGCAGCCCCAGCGCCCGGGCACCGCGAGGAGAGGCGCGGCCGGGGGGCCTCCCGGCCTCCGCTCCCCCGGCGCAGCCGTGTGACCCGCGGGGTGCGGGGCCGTCGGGGTGCGGGGGGCGGCCCTGCGGGAGGGCCGAGGCGAGCAGCCCGCTCCGGAGGGCGGAAAGTCGGAAGTCTCGTTCACGTTTCAAGAGAACAGATCGGCTTCGGTAATAAAAAGGATGTTTTCATTAATTGTTGCTCATACTAAAGAGGAAGATTTCCATCTGCTCTGTATACTCCTCTGCCGTTTCCAATTTAGAAGTTACCCTTTAATCTCTCTCTTTTTTTTTTTTTTTTTTTTTTTAAGAGCAGCTTTCTGAGGAGTCTGCTATGAAAAATGTTACACGCAAAACTAAAACTCCTCCTTTCAGCGAAAATTGCTCTCCAAAATAACAAACAGCCGATTTGGTTTCCTACGCCGAGCAGATTCAGATGGAACGCGAGCACCTCTGCTGACCCCGGGCCGCCGCGAGCCCGTAAATCAGGTGCTCGGACACCGACTTTCATTAATGACTTGGAGCTGGCTAAACAACTTCGGCTAAGAAAGTAATTACAAAGTAATATTATCTCGGCGGCTTCTCGGCTCGTCAGCAGTTACCCCCATAACCAAGCTGCTCCGAAGTCACTCTTCCAACAAAACAAAACAGAAAGCCCGGCGCGGGCTGGGAAAATGAACGAGGCCGGCCTGAGCGGCCGCTCTCGCACCCTGCCGCGTCTCAGCCCGCTCCCTCCGCTCGGGCACCCCGCGGGATCCTCTGCCTTAGGGCGCGGGTGCCCGGCTGATAACCACAGGGGCTTTTCCGAGATGTTCCCATAGGGGTAACGCAGGGACCCGCGTGCCGCTTCCGCAGTTGATTGTCTCTGCAGACAATAAATTGGACCCGGCCGTAACACGGGATTTGATCAACCTGCAGAACCGCGCAGGAGAAATTAAGGGAGTGATGGAGAGGGGGAAAAATCCGAGGGCTTTATAGCCCTCACCTTCGCGACGAGTTTGAGCCGACACCGGCCCGGTGGGGCTCACTCGCCCCGGCCCGTCGCCTCCCCACGCCCGGAGCCGCTCACGGCGGTGCGAGCGGCGCTGACAGCGCGGTACCGTGCGGGCTGCCGGCCCGCAGCTGCTTCTCGCTCCTTATCTCCTCCCTTGGCCCTCGGGGCAGAGGCTCAGCCTTCAACTCCCTTTCCCCTCTGCCTTTTTTTTTTTTTTTTTTTTTCTCTTTCAGAAAACACTGACACTTTCTACATTACTTTTGGCCCGGCGCAGACTTTTGGTGACCTTCACAATGCAGCTCGGAGCAGAACGATGTTTTGGCCGCATTTTCCGGTGCTGCCTGACCCAAAGCTTCAGGAATGTGATAAGAAAGCCGAGTTCTGAACCGAGCTGCCGATAGCGAGGTCTCTTTAATTAGGGCGTTATCAGAGCCGGGCCCGATTAAAAGGTGCTGAAAATAATTGCAAGCCATACAGCTGTTGCAGCACGGGGCCCGACCGAGGACTCTGGCTGTGGAGGAGCCCAGCCGGGTGAAAGAGACGGGCGGCCCAGAAAGGGAAAGCTGGGCAGAGCTTCCAAAGCCTCGCTCCCTACCCCCACGCCCCGGCCCGGATTCGGCTGAAGTGTCATCGCAGAGCCAAGGTAACGTCTTTCCCACGGTCGGAAGAACAGGCTATAAGCCCGGGAGTTCAACCTTGAGGAGAACGAAAACAAGAACGCTTTATCCGTCGCCGAAAATAAATCAATCAGCGAATAGAAAAACGAGCACCCTTCGCCGAATTCCTCCTCGCCGAAGGAAGGAGCGCTATCCGGCCGGGCCGAAGCGGGAGGGAGGGGCCGCGCTGCCCGAGCTCTGCCCCCCGCAGCAGGGCACGGCCACGCACACACCTGCTCACCGAGTGCGGGAGCTGCCGCCCGCTGCCTTGGGGGGAACAGCGGTGTGCCTGAGAGCTGCGGAGCCCTGCCGGGCCTAAGGCCGCAGACAGGATGGGTGCCGCGCTTCTGAGCGTTAAAGGCTCCCCTCGCTTTTAGGGGCTCAGCAATCAGAGGACACCCGCTCACCCACCCGCATAGGCCGAGGCTCATTCCCTCTCCCTTCTCGTATGACTTCTGCTCGGCCATTAAAACCATCTCAGCTATCTGGAATACTTTCAGGTGTCCGAACAACGCCAGAGGCTCCGTGCAGCGACGGCCGCCTCCGGGGATGCTGTGTAGCTTCCCCAGCCTTGCCGGGTCCCGCGCACTGCTCCCAGTTTTTCGACACAGCAGACCGGCAATGTCCGGGCCTCCTCTCCCTTCCCCCGGCCCGCCTCCTTTCGCTGCCCGTCCGGGAGCAAAGGCACCCCGAAACGGCAGAACGCCGGCGGACCCTCCAACCGCAGCACCACGCCCGCGGCCCCAGGCTATCTGTCGGGCCGCGGCAGGGCAGAACGCCCGCCGGCAGCGCGGAGCCGGCCCCGAGCCTCTCTGGTGAAGCCGGCTGCGAGAGCGCAGCTCCGGCCCCGCTCCTCCGGCCGCCCCACCACACCCGGGCAGCTTTCCACGGGCCGGGCAGCGCGGGGACGGAGCGCGGCGGGAGGCGCAGCCCGGGGATCCCCAGCGAGAGCTCCGCGCTCTCCCTCCTTGCTCGCTTTAGCGCCGGCAGATGTTTACATTGCGGCCGCTGGAAGAAAAACCATTAGGCGATAACCCCGTTCCGTAGGCGGGGGCTGACCGATCGTTAGCCGCGCACCCACGCGAATTTCTCGGGGCAGAGCGAACCGCGGGGCCGCTGTGCTCGCAGCCCGCCGCGGAGCCGCCGGGAGGGAACCAGAAGCCGCCCGGTGCGCGCCCGGCCCGGGGAGCCGGCGCTCCCGAGGTGGGTCCGACGAGCGCCTGGAGAGCAGCACCGCGTCCGGGTCGAGGGGCTGCCCACAGAGGTAAACAACCCTACCCCCACCCCTGCAGTGCGTGGCTCGCGGAGGAACGAGCTCGGAGCGGCGGCCCCATCTCCCTGTCGGGACCGTCCGCAGTCCGAATACGGCCCCGAGAAGAGAGAAGGCTGCTCTGGCCAGGGTCCCGCTGTGCCCGCGGAGAGCCGACCGGAGGGACGCGGCGGCGGCAGGGGCCGGCCCGACGAACCCCGCACGATGGCTGCGGGCTCCGTGCATGGGGCGAACGCAGCCCGGCGAGGCTCCGGCGGTGCCCGCGGGGCCGAGCCCGAGTGGTTGGCACGCCGCCCTTACCCTGGTTGCGGATGGCTTGCTGGCTCTCCAGGCAGTTGGGCAGGTAGGGCCCGTTGGGGAACATCCTGGCCTGGCCGGAGGGCGGCTGGCTGGGCGGCGGGGCGCCAAAGGGCCCGTAGCGGCAGGCCCCAGCCGTGCCCGTGAACTGCCCAGAGAAGTGGACGGTGAAAGCGCTCAGATACTGCTCCTCATGCGGGTCCGACCCGTTCCAGCTGGGTTCCTGCTTGATGAAGGAGTGCGGCCCCAGCGAGCCGTAGGAGGCCCCCGGGGGGAAGTCCAGGACGGGAGCCCACTGTGCAGCGCTGCTCACCGGCATGGCGCAGTTGCTGTTGCCTGGTAGGGAGGGTACGGAGGGCAGCAGCGCGTTCAGGTCCCGGACGTCTGACCCCATTTGTTCGCAGACCTTCTGCCTGCCGCCGGGCAGCCAGTCTCCTCCCGGGCCGCACTTATTCCAGGACACCTGGCCTCTGCCCGCCAGGCCGGAGGCCGGCTCCGGCTGCAGGCACCAGGCCGGAGAGCTCAGCCCCTTGGGGGAGGTTTGCTCCGCGACGCAGCTCCCCGGGTCCAGCCCGGCGGGAGCAGGCAGCAGCGACAGGGAAAGGTTGTTCTCCAGGATCGCCTCCGGGGCCGCGCCCGCTCGCAGCGCAGGGCGGGGTGCGCGCGTGTCCGTGCGGCCGCGGCCGTGTCCGTGTGTCCGTGTGTCTGTCCGTCTGTCCGTGTGTGCCGGGGGGTTGGGGGGGCACGGCCGCCTCGCACGCCTCACCTCGGCTGCCTGCTCGCCCTCAACTTTGCAAAGCTCAAATAGAGGCGCTCGCAGGGGAGGAGGAGTCAGCCGCGACGATCCTCCATTCACACAACCTTCGTCGAGGGGCTGCCCACAGCCCGCTCTGCTGAACCGACCCGGGCCAGCCGGGGGAGGGGGACGAGGGGGGGGCGCGGGGACGGAGGGGGAGAGGTTAGTGTGGGAGAATATATCTTCCCTACGCATCCCTCCCACCCTTCCTCCGGTGCAAGCGCCACTAAATCTCACCCTAACATCCCTTCGCTTTGGGAGACGTGGCGAGAACGCCAGAGGGATGCGGGCGGCCCCGTAAGTACGTGCTGCGCCGCTTCCCGCAGCCCCGCGCACTTCCCGCGGGAGCCCCGAGGGCGGCGGGGTCGCAGCCCCGGGCACCGCGCGGAGAAGCCGCCGCCCCTGCAGGACCGAGGGAAGTGACCCGGCCCGGGGCGAGCCGACCCGGCGAGGGAAAGTGTCTTTCCAGGTGCTCTCCCCGCGCGGGAGACGTCCGCGTCCCCCCGAGCAGCCCGCGCCTAGAAGGGAGGAGGCGGCTGGGCTGCTGCGGGAGGACCGGGCACAACGAGCGGCCGCTTCGGGGATTCACCCGGCACGGCTCCGGGGAAGACCCGCACTCTCCCTTCCCTACCCAACCCGGACGGCGGCTCCGAAGCACGAATCCGGCGGCACCTCACGCATTATCTCGGGCGGCCCTCCCGGGCAACTCGGCGGGCAGGGGGCCGTTCCCGGCAGCCAGGGGGCCGCCACCTTTTCCCCGCCCCTACCGGCAGGGCGGACGGCGAGGCCCCCGGGACGCGGCCGTGCCTGCCGCGGCCAGGCGCACCCCGGCATCCCGCAGATAGAGCCCGCCGCCTCCCCCGATAGAGGCTCACCGAGCGCGGGATCCCGCCCCCTCCTCCCGAAGCAGTCGACCGGGCCGTTGGAAGGCTTAGCCCCTAGGGCACGCGTGTCACAGCTCCGCGGGGCCGCGTGTGGCTGCGCTCCCGTTGCACTCCGCGCCCGGCCGACCGCGCTCTCAGCCCCGCGCCGCGGCCCCGGTGAGAAGTCGTTCCCCAAACTGCGGTGCTAAAAGCGCCGCGAGGAGCGGTTACCTGCCGCTGCGACGGTGGGCCCCGATGTCCTGCGGTGGCAACTCGCGCTGCGGCGTTCCCATTCCCCGCGGCGTTAAAGGTTACCGCGAAGCACCGCCGACCTCCAAACGATGTTTAGAGAGCGTAAATGCTGCAACAAAATAAATCGAAACGGCCCGTTACTGGCGAAACCGAGTGTAATTTCACGTTGTCCTTACACAGATTAATAACACCCGTAGGCTTCTGCTACTAGTGAAATTTTCACAGGCTGTCTTCAGACAAATCGCTTTTAAATCGCCCTCTTTGATGTGTACATAAACGCGTTTGTTACAGAAATCTGCGCGTACGATAAGAGCGAAAGGTTTCTCTGCCAATACTAAAGGCTGCGTAAGTCTGAAGGAGCTGCTGCTCTCTGTGAGGACACACAAAACGAATTCGGCCTCGGGAGATGAGCGAGCACAGCCCGCTCCCGCGGAGCGAGGAGACCGCTCCCGTCTGCTCCCTCTGCTCCCCCCCATCCTCCCCGCCGTGTGCCCGCAGCCCGCCGCTCCCGCACCCGGGGGATCCCAGGCCGTGGAAGGGTGCAGGAAGGTCGGGGCTGCTGCTGGACCCGGTCTTTTCTGCGATGGATCAACATGTGGAGTTGGTCCCGTTAACCGCCGGCTCCAAAATCTACAATGTACGTACTTAAATATAAATGCTTGTGTAACTTAAACAGAGCATTTTATTTCCCATGAAAACTAGACCTCTCTTGGTACAAACAGAAAGCCTTCCTGTAACGGAACGTTTCTCTAGTTTGCACGTTTTTTCCCTTTTTTTTTTTTTTTTTTTTTTTTTTTTTTTTCCTTCTTTTTTTAATAGCCTAACTTGAGAAATATTCTGGAAAGGGAGCAACGTTTTCTCAATCTCTTAGGTTCTGCGTTATTCCGCCTGGGAAGAATACCGAAACCCTTTCAAATCTTCGCCTCCCGCATTTCCAGCAGACACGGCCGGGCGCCGAAGCAAGGGAGCCCTCGGCCATCAGCGCATCTCCCTCCCGGTGGCCCCCGGCTCGGCCCGCAGAGACGCTGCGGAAGGCACCGCGCCCGGCACCTGCACCTCGCGGCACGAGGCAGCCCGCCGGGACACCGGGCGGTGCCGGCACGGAACGGGCGGATGCTCCTCGGAGTCGAGCCGGGACGCGGCTTCAGCCGACCGGGGCGGCCCGAGAAGAGGGGCGGGCTGGAAACTTCAGGGAAACAGCTGGAGTCAAATCGGCTCCCGCAGCCGTTTCCTTACAGTCCGCACAAGCGAGAGGTAAAGGCTCCCGCCCCCGCTGCGGGGTCGAAAGCGGCTCGGGGCCGCACGTCCCCTTCGAAGCGTTGCGGGCGCACCGCTCGCGCCCTGCACGGGGTCCCGCAGCCCGCACCCGGGCCCCGCCGGCGAGATCACGCCGCGCCCCGCAGCCCAGAGGTCGCATCCCGGCCTCGGCGCGGTTCAGAACGCACAGCCGGCGGCGCCGGGCGCGGCGGCCGTTCTGCCGGGGTACCGACCCACACGGCCGGGACCTTCCCATTCTCTGCCCTCAAACTCGGTCCGATCCAAATCTCGGGCGGGCAGAAAGATGGCCGAACGGCTTTGATCGATAATTCCCGGCAAACGATCCACGTCCGATCCTGCCCCCGGGCTAACGCCACGAAACCAACCGGCGGGTATTTCTGGGACGGGGTCGTTGTACCGGGAAGAAGGGGCTCACGGAGATGCTCCCGAGCCCTGAAGCGCCTCCCAGGCGGCGTTCCGCTCTGCGCCGCCGTGCCGACCAGTTAACGGCCCGGCCATTCTATCACGCTTTACTAAGCCTCATAAACGATCCCCGCGCGGCTCGAAGCGGGGGGAGACCGGCTTAAACAGAGATAAATCCCCGGCGCTGTCGGAGCCGCTCACGGCACGCAGAGGGATCTGTCTCCTTTCACTCGGGGAGCCGATCAGACTTTGATTACTTAAGCGCCAAGAGCAGCAGAAGCAGAGCTGCGAGCCGCCCTCCAGGAGCGCGGAGAGGCAGAGAGGAGCGGCAGGATCTCACGGCGCGGCCCGACCCCGCGCTCCTCGCGGGAGCGGATTCGGGCCGAGGAAGCCCCGCGCCGCCCGCTGCGCCTCGCAGCGCCCCCCGGGGGCGGCGGCTGCGCTCGGCCCGAGGCCTCGGTGCCGGTCTCGGCCGGACGCCGGAACTCGGGCCGCTCTTCCACCGTAAATCTTGGCGACGCTGGAACTAATTACGGAGGGACGCGTCTCAATTTGTTCCGCATTAGCGCCGCGCCGGACCGCGGGCACCGAGCGCGGGAAATTGATGAGCCGAGCCGCGGGCGGCCCGCCGGCACTGACCCCGCGCTCAACCCGGAGAGCGGCGCGGGGCGGGCCGGGATCCCGCTCCGCCTCCCGCACCTGCGGGGCCCCGCGGCTGCACGGCGCTGCCATCGGCGCCCGGATCGCCGCGCCGCAGCGCCGAGGGCACGGGGCGTGCTGCTGGGAGCCGGCTGGGAGCCCGTCGGTGCGGCTCCGAGATGCCGGGGAACGGAAAGCCGGCAATCGGCAACGCCGTTCGGATCCGGTATGTGTGGCGTATTGAAAGTCTCAGTGCTGCAAGGAAATACTCGTGGAGCAGCTAAAATGATGAAATAGAATTCTTACAGGTTTTCGGTACTTAGAAAAGAAAATGAAGGAAAAAAAAAAAAAAAAGCCCTTAGATATATAGATAGACAGAAATACCCAGGTCTTTGCATGATCCCCAGTGGTTCGAAGTCACTAAAATTACTATCTTTGGAGGGGGAAAAAAAATCAACCAAAACTACAGTAGAACGCAGCACATCGTAAAAATGGGTACATGGAAACTGAGAGCTAAGGAATTCCTATTTCCCCCTTGTAAAATGCAGATTTCACCCCATATGTTTACTTCACTCTCAATGTAATACTACAGAAGGAAATCACGAACGGTCCTGTTACGTACACAGATCCTCAGAGTTCTTTGAGCTCCCTGGAACGTTGCCTTTGAGCACAGATACACATCTGAGATGTACAAGAAACATTTACAGATTCAGAAGTGATAGGAAACATCTAAGCATTGTAAAGCTGCTGTGCTCACTGCCACACTGCCGTCCTTGTGGTCACCGGTGGGTAAGCAGCGACTGCAGCTGACACCAGCAGCAGCCTCAGGCCCGGTGCCTGCAGGGCGCTGCAGAAAGGGCACGAACATGAATCACTCTGTCCTGGATTCTCCTGCAGATCTGACACAACCGTGTTCTTAATACCAGCTGTGCCTGCTTTCATGTTACAACAGTGTCACCGTGGAAAAAGCACACAGCAATGGCACAAGCAAAGTCTGTATCTCACTTTGTTCTTTCAAAGCCCCTTTTAGCAGTGACCCTGCACAAAGATACTCCTTCCACCAGCCCTTCTCAGGGGGAACAAACGGTGCTCTGGGGAGGTTGCTCTGACTTGAGCTGAGATCTCAGCACTATTCCCAGGATTCTGTTCTATTCCCACAGACTTCAGAGGAATGCGTGCACAAAAGCACCTGACTGAGGGTGCTTCAGGGTACAAGCAGTCACTGAAATCAGTGCTGGAGGACTTCAGTCCATCGGGCT